CCTCACCCGCGATTCCTTGAGTAATTGTCTTAGTTTTATTTACCCCTTTTGAGATTTTATTTGAAGCCACGAAACCAACGTGACAACGCTTAAAAACTATTTAAAGAATAATTTTGATACGCTTTCTGGAGATAAATACAACTTGGCATTCCAGCTGAAATGTGTAGTATCATGTTTACATGGAATTGTACATCGTGATTTGGTACCTTATGATTAACTTTATTTATTATGAATATTCCTTTTTAGTAATTATAATAAATTTTTTTTATCGATAGCATTCTGGAAATATATTAATCCATCAAAGCGTTATTAAACTAGCAGACTTTGATTTATCAAAAAGAATTGAAGAAGCAACTAATCAGTCAAAAGTTTTTGGTGTTATTCCTTATATTGACACTAAAAGATTTATTAGAGAAAGAAAAAATGACTGTACATCGCAAAAATATGCACTAAACGAAAAGAGTGACGTTTACAGTGTTGGCGTGCTTTTGTGGGATCTATCAAGTGGTGATCATCCTTTTCATGTTAAAGATGAAGCGGATGACATTTGTTTGGTTATAGAAATTTCACAAGGAATTAGAGAATTATCGTTCCTGGTACATCTGAAGGTTATATAAACATTTATACTGGTATATGTATTTTCTTAAATTTAATAAAGAAATATGAATTTGTTCAATAAATTTTTTTATATGATTTTAGAGTGTTGGGATAATGCCAAACAATCGACCGGCCATGAGAAAAGTGGTTGAGGAATTAAATGCAATTATTAAAAAAACAAATATAATTGATTGTGTTCAATTGAAAAATGATAGATCATACATTCGATTATTTGAGCAACAACTTCATTTGAATGGCGATAATGCTTCTTCTAGTATTAACAATTCATTTTATGGAGGATCATCTCGAAATATTCTACATTTTAATCAGATGAATACAGGAGAATTAGAATTGAGTAATGAAGAATCAGTCATTATTTATGATGATACTATTGTTGGTTTAGAAATTACAGACCTTAATAATGGATCTCTCATACCTGATTATATAAATAAATATTATGGAATCACTCACGATCCTATTTCCAAAGATTATATGATTATCATGAGGTATTGTGAAGCAGGTGATTTGAAACTTTATCTAACAGAACAGTTTTATCTTGAATGGTGGGAAAAGTTAGATTTATTGAATAAAATTATTGAAGGCCTTGAATATATTCATGATAAAGGGATTATTCATCGGGATTTTCATAGTGAAAATATCCTTTGTTATGAAAATTGTAAAGTTATAATAGGTGATTTAGGAATTAGCAAACAATTGAATGAATTAGCAGATGATGATGATGATGATAAAATTTATGGTATTATTCCTTATATTTCTCCAGAGATTTTTCATGGACAAAATTATATTAAGTCCTCAGAAATCTATAGTCTTGGTATGATTATGTGGGAGTTAATGACGGGTAGAAGACCTTTTTGGGATCAAGATCATGATACAGAACTTATTAGAATATGTGATGATATACGTCCTCCAATTGTTACAAATGCATCTGAGGGTTTTATTGAATTAATGAGAAAATGTTGGCATCCTGATCCAAATAAAAGGCCAACAGCAAATTATTTAAGAAAAAGAGCTGAAGATATGTATTTAATTGAATTTGATAATTCATATTGCAGAAATGCAACAAAATTCGTATTTCATCAGATATTGGACCTATAGTCACGAATCATTCAGAAGCAGCATATAAAAGTAGACCATTAAGCAATATGATAAAATCTGCGATACTCTCAAGAAGTCAATCCATCACAGAATTAGGTAATTATATTAATATTTACTTTTGATTAAAAAAATAATTAATGAATATTCATACCTTTTTCTTTTAAATTTTATTAATTAATTATTTTATATTGGAAGAAATAAAAGATAAAAGAAAGATTACGGATGAATTAATTGATAATCACAAAAGCAATAATATTTTACTTGCTTTGTTTTAAATTATTTAATTTTTATACGGTACAGTCGTCCCCCTTTATAGACACATCCTCGGGACCAAAAATAAAAAGTGTGATTATAATTAAAAGTGACTATATAGGGGGATTTTATATATTGTTACTAAGTGTTGGTTCCGAAAGGTGACTATAAAAATACTGTGATTATAAAGGGGATTTTTATATAGCATTAATAAATATTGGTTCTTACGAAATGTGTGATAATGAGGGATTTATTTGATGTGATTATACAGGGGAGACTATAGAGGGGGACGACTTTATATTAGAACTATGCGCATACCAATCCTAATATTATAACGTGTCTATATCAAACAAAAAAATGAAAAAAAATATAATTGTTCCTAGAATATCAATAATTAATTAAAGACTATACTGTATTTATTAGATTATGTGAAAAAAGTAGATATTAATGCAATGCGAATATTGTGAAATGTAAAATGGTGTCGATCAGTTCAGACAAATATTTCCCAGGTTCATTACTAACAACCATTATAATTTTATAATTTTTTTTACTTTTGTATACATCTACTAATCGTTACTACAGTACGTAATAAATTGAATTTGGTAAACTTTTTTGTGCATAAAAGTCGCGTGGTAATCAAACTCTCGATTTCATGTCTGCTTAATTATCTTCTCTTTAACCTTATATTTCTATTTTATATTCCACCATTTATTTTTTTATGGTTCCCAGAAAACGAAAGTAAGTAAGAAGTACATCTATTTTTTACTCCCACATTTATCTTTTTATGGTTCCCAGTAAACAAAAGTAAATAAGAAGTGCAGGACACTAAATAACCTGTTTTGACACCAATAACCTTTTTACAGTTTTCCAACATGGTTAAACAACCCACCGAAAAAATGGATGAAACAACTATCGAAGGACTTTCTAAGGCCGTTCAGGTAATCTATATAATTTTAGAGAAAATCAACCAAACATTTTTAGCAAACCTATTTCCTGTAGGAGCTTACCGTACGGACCTGCGGGCAAGAAAATCACGTGTGGAAATTTCGCGACGATCCAAATTATTACAGCATGGGACGCAATTTGTCTCCTGTACGCCTTCTATGTCAAACTCCGAATCAGGAAGGCGAATCTCGAGAATCAGATGGCGTTTCTCACACGAAAGTTGGAGTTTCTGCGCGAATGGATCAGGAAGAAAGAAACGAGAAAAAAGTACCGTCCGAGCGCAATAAATGTAACATATTCGGCACAGAACAAGATCATGTTCGGAGCGTCAGTAAAATTATCACCAACTTCGCTAAAATTGGCGCCCAAAATGAAACGCGAAGTTGCGAAATCGCCCAAAAAGAAGAAAAAGAAACAGAAAGTTGCGAAACTGCTAGAAATAACAAGATTAGAACTATATACAACGCAAAAGAAAGTTCGAAAGACAAGGTTAGAAGAATTGAAGATACTTCGATCGACGAATCCCACGAGTTCTGCTCTAACAGAGGAAGAATTAGAGGAATGGAAAGTTCCATTGGGAAATTGTTCCGAATATATCCCGTGGGAGGCGTTGCAAGAAGAACCAAGGAGACGTGTAAACTTATACAGCCACACTATCAATGTGACCAGGACGGGAACGCTAAACCCGTGCATCAACTGTCAGAAAGTATCTTATTCGATGAAACTCCTAGGTGTCGCAACAATACACCCATGGTAGTTGAAATGTTTGCAAGTGAATCCAACCGTCAACATGTTGCAGATACTGTATACCCTAGGCCCTGTAAAGTATCAAATCTTACCGATTGTATGAATGTAAAATCAGCTCTTTATGAGTATGTTAACGATGTTCGAGACTTTGGCTTCGACCATATCATACTCATTGGGGAACGTGATTTTGGAATGATTTTTTTTGATTGTTATGGTCGAATATTCGAGTTGTATACGATGGATGATGCATTGTGGCCACTTAGAAATCCTCTAGAAGAGACGGCTACAAAACCCTGGACTGATAACGAAGTGGCATGGACTGTTGATGAAGAAGATGGAACTGTTTTTGAGCATGGTATGTATGCAAGCATTGATTATTTTGTACCATAATTTTATATAACTCTTTTCTCTCTTTCAGAAAAATCCAAAAGTATTAGATATTATATAATTAAAGATCAGGAACCACAGAAAACCCAAAATGTTGAGAAATCTCAGAAGAAAATCCAGAAGAAAGGAAAAAAAAAGAAGAGCAAGAAATAATATCATTATATCATGATTTTTTATTATAATCGTATACTAATTATTAATTTGATGCTTAAATTTTCTAATCTTATCATTTAAGAAATTAGCAATTTTTCATTGAAAAAGTATTATTTGGGAGGCGAAGAACGTCTGACTGCTCAATAAATTGCATTTAAAAATTAGACAAAACTTTGTTTACTGAAATTATTATCAATGAATTAATATAATTTAAACATTTATTTTAAATATTTAATTATTATAAGAATTTGCGACTCTCTTTAAATAAAATTAATCATTTTTGAAAAAGTCGTTGACTGATTTTGATGGAATGAAATTGCTTTCAATATTTTTAAATGATCTATTATTTGATTAAAAAAAAATGATTACCTCCAATAACTATTACATGAATATGTTATTATAATCACGTTAAGTATCACATGACTTTATTGTAGCAATTATAAATATACAAACAATTTTTGTTCGCATTTTATACTCAAGGAGGATCTCAATCACAATATATACGACATAATAACGTTTTATAGAAAACACAAAATTTCTCTAATGTTATTTGAAAGTACAAAACTTCGATAATAAAATTAATTTAATTTAAAATTTGACTCTCATATGCTTTTGTGTAAAGACCAGTTATCCAAATCAATATTACCATAATTTGGTATATTTCGATAATTCGATTCATATATTGCTTTACTTTCATCTAAAACTCAACTATTCATAAAATTTTTCAATTCGTTTCCATCACCTAATGAAAAAATAAAGTTTTCACTAGTATTTCTCCATACATCGTCAATATCCACCAATTATTGTGTCATTTCTTTAGTATAAATAATCAAAATGCATGCTCCTTGTGTATAGTATTGATACCATAGCCATACTACTTTCAAGATAAATAAGAAAACTTTTAATCCTTTGCATTATCATTTTTTCTTTGATCCAGTTAGCAAGGATAGCCGCATGTTTGGTTAATGATCATTGAATCAATACGGAACTTTTTTTTAACCAAGAAGCAATTTATTTGATTGGGCTCGTATTTGACATATGAAACACACAAAATCTTCAAAGAGAACTCGAGGTAACATTTATTCCAAAGGCCAATCTTGCTATGAAAATCTTTGAAGAAATTTCGAAAAGACGGATATTTTGATAAATTAGTTCTGAGCATTCTCAAAGCCAAGAAGTCCTTTATATTCCAACCACCTAAATTAGCGATGCTGCTGCTTCTTAATTCCGAAGTTTGAGCAATTCCCATTTAAGAAGGTTATCAAAAGTTTCCGAACGCCATTTTCTACATCGAATTGCTCAAAATCCACTGATTCGAATTACACCAAATTTTTATATGCCGTAGATACAATTTCAAAATATATCATATAAAATTTTATTTTATTTGAATCAGTGGTTATAGAAATATGACTAAAATTATATTTTTTACAAATTATTATAAATATAAATTTAACAAAAAGGTAAACTCATTCAAATTACTTATATTATCATTCAGCCATTAATATTATAAAATGATATTATAAATATTAAATTTCAAATTTTTAGCAAATTTGAATCACTAGTTTATGAATCATTTATATAAACTTATTACAAATAGTAAAATTAAAATAAATAATAAATATTAAGTTTTTAAATATTATATTTGTTGCAAATTTAAATAAGAACTAATAATTCAAATTAAACCAAATTTTAATATGTTTTTAACTTATTTTCAATCTAAATGATATTAATATTTTATTAAATTTTGAATATATATAAAACGGTAATTGAAAATTATTTATACTATATTATTTACATAATATTTCTCAATAATACTGGCTTGGTATCTGTAAACTAAAATTATTAACATTTAATTCAATATGTTAAATTAAATACAAGAATTTATTACAATTATACCTATATGAAGACACAACAAAAGGTAATAGCAAATGAATTAATAAGATTTTTTTATTGAATACTTAGTTTATCTTAAAACTCTATCTCAAGTTACTTTTCAACTCAAAAGAAAATACAAGATATTTATACAAAATAGAATACTATAAAATAAAATATAACAAATATAATATAAATGATAAATAAAATAAATATAATAAATCTACAAATAAAATAAACTAACAAATATAACTATTATAAATAATCAATCTAATATATTTAATAGATCAAATATGATCACTCTAATGTATTGATCCATTTTGTTCACTTCATTAAATTTGTTAATTATTTTTAATCATATAAATGATTAGCTATAATCACGTATCATAACTTTAATAATTACTGATTAAAATTACATTTTCTTTGATTTTATTTTCAATCAAATAATCTTATTTAAAAAACTAGATGTGGCTAACTATTAATAAAAAATGATCTCTTTGCATAATTAAATAACAGAAAAAATAATTTTGCTTCTTCTATTGTTCATTTCTCTAAATAAAGAATACAAATATGATCATTATTAGTCTTATTTAGATCAGTAATAACCAGATATTCTAACTTTTTCTATTTATTTAATTTGGTAATAATAATTATTCAGTAAATCTTTATAATCAGAATCAAATAGGACAACTGGTTAGTTTGGTAAGAATTAATTTAATTAGTAAATAGTATTAATCAGCAAATTTTATTTTCTATATTTATATCTATTTTAAAATTTTTATGTATTTATTACTGAAATTAATTTTTATAATAAAATTTTGCATCATCACATCTAAAAATAAAAACTGATTAAAATTACATAAAACTTTTATATAATATAATTTAAAATTATATTATTAAGATATAAAATTAGACTTAATTTGAATTAATAGATTTTTAACAATTAAATATAGAAATAGTATTTAAAACTTTTATATATTTTTTGTAATTTATATAATATATAATTGTAATTATATATTTCTATAATTACTAATTTAAATTATATGAAAATTTTATATAATATATTTTGAAATTGTATCTATATATATATATATTTAGAATAATTTAAATCAATAAATTTTAAGTAATTCAATATAATAAATAGTGTTTAGAAACTCTTTGTAATATTGAATTTCATAATACAATTTTATAATCTTCTTATTTAATCAATCCAAATAGAATATTAGCTAATTAAAAAAGTTCAGGATTATTATAAATAGTTTTTAAATAATAATTAGAATTTACAGTTTACAGTTTATAAAGAACATTTGTCTTCTATTTAGTATTAAATGATTAATTATATAATTAGTTTTAATTATACTTATAGTATAGTCATTAGGATCATGCTGCTTGCCAATTTTAGATATATTGATTAAATATTAATATATCAAATAATATTATCCTTCAGTTTTAGTTATATTAGTTAAACATTATTATATATAAGCTAAACAATTATATTATTATCATTATTAGTTATATTATATATAATATATTTATTATTTTTATTATTCGTAATAAAGCAATTAATTTATTAAATTTATTTTTCCATTTAACTAATTTAATAATCCAGCTTTCGCTAACAATTTAAAATTCATATTAATTTTTAATTCAAATAAGGAATTGTTAGATTTACTTGGTTGTAATAGTTATTTTGAAAGTGTTTGATCATAAAGAACTTTAGTTTGTTTTGATATTACTTAATAATAATAAAATTAATATTAAAATTTTTTCTAAAACAAACTTACCAATATATTTTTAGTATATTAAACTTTATTTACATTTAGATGCAGTTATAAATCCACTAATTTTTTGTTGAAATTCTTTATCTTCTATAATATTATTCTTTAACTAGTTTTAAGTTAATAATTGATCTATAAAAAAAAAATAAAAAAATATGGTAAATTTATTCATTAAATTAAGTATAATTGATTTACCTATTGTATATATGTTTAGTCTACATTTTCGTGTATATGGTCCATCATTTTAGAAATTATTTTCATTTGTTTATTATTAGTTAGCAATGTATATGTAGCCAATTCTTCTTTAAAATGATGATGAGACTATAGTTGAATATCTTCTGATGAAATTTTTATTATTTCTAGTATTTGTACTAAAATTTTTTGACCAGTATGATTAGTTATTTTTTTATTTCTTAAATTAATCTTATATTAGTATCTTGATAAATTGATTTCATAAAACTTTTGATTCTTTTTATTTTAATGTAATTTTTTTTAAATAAAACGCCTGAATATAAAGCTATTTTCTTGTGATCTACAGGCCCGATTTAGACGAAATTTAGCTTGTTAGAATCGTCGCACTGCGGAGAATTCGAATCCAGTGTCAGTTTTATAGTAGCGAGTCTACCAAAAAAATTTTCTATGCTCAAAGTCTATTAAGTAAGAAATTCTAATGTAAATCATTAAATTATGCAAATTTGGTATTATTAACTGGATATTAAATTTATATCAGGTTATTTTTCAAGATTTAGGCTTTAAAATAAATATAAAATTATGTTTTTAGCCCCTATAGTTAACCTGTTATAAGCTTTTAAAGGTAATTAATAATGGTTGCATTTCTTTTGCTTACCACTGTAAGTAAACAATGACTAGAACATTATATAGCCACAATTTTCTACTGTCATATGATGTAATTAGTACAAAAAAGCCCAAAAGATGACATCTGGAGACTTTTGGTAGAGGTCTGTAATATAGTAACTTCTTTTGATAATCTTATATACTATATTGATTATAATTATTCTCAAGTTTTTATATTTTTGTGTATGTTTTTCTTTCTGTAACAGATTTTCCTTTTATATGCAAAAATTTTACATATTATATACAAATATTTGCAGATTTATACCTTTGTAAAGTTAAAAAGTTTTATTATAATAATTCTTATTTTTTAATTAAAAAATATAAATATATGCTTTCTCCTAATTT